AATTAATAAAATTAAATTAAAAGTTGAAGGAATAAAAAATTAACTTAATAAAAGTTAAGATTGAATTAGTTTAAAAGAAAAAGTTAATTTTGAAAAAAATTATTTTTGAAATCAGAATGTCCTAATTTTCTTTAAAATGAGATTGTTTTAAGTAACAATTACAATATGGATTATTAGATAAATTTAATTATTTTATTCATATAAGTTATATCCAAAAAATATATACGTAAAAATTTAAAAAATGAGTCAATATACAGCACTGTTTTACAACGATTCTTCATCTAAGATTTATTTCATACTTACATTGCTGAAATATAATATTTATGACACCTAAAATTAGTGTGATGCAAATATAGGCGGGATTTGATAAAACCTAGCGAGGCAATCAAAACTGACTTTAATCATAAAATCATTGAGCTTTTTCTAAATTAATTCTCTAATGTTTAAAATCTTATAGAAAAACATATTGGCATTAATAATTGGCATAAATAATATTAATAAATTATAAATAAGAATAAAATGAAATCGTATGAAACTGTAGACTAATCATAATCTATATACAAATGACTTCTTTAAATTGTTTTAAAAACAGAACACATGTAACAATTTTAACTTTCATCCAAAATATCTAGTATATGGATGTAAGCAAAAACAAAAAGCAAAATTAATAACTGTCTCATATCCTCGATATGAAAACTATAATAATTCAACCTATTAACTCTTTTTCGGACCCATGATATACACCTACATCTATCAACAAATAATTATTTCGATGTTCACCATCAACTGATATTTAGTTCCATTGCACTTAACAATACACGCACTTTTAATAATTCATAGAGGTAGTATCTTATGTCGTAGTCAGTTAACGTCTGATATAATTGCTTGAAATCTGTGTTGTTGACATGTTCGAAAATCAGTGCCGGTGTCCTTGAAACTGGATCTTTAACAACTGCTTGGAGTGTAATTATGTTGGTCCCACCTTTAAGATTTTCTAAAATTTTTATTTCCCTTTTTATTTTCTTCTTTTTAACAGGCTGTAAATAAAAAATTATTACTTTCATCTTTCAGTTTATATCAAATATTTATATATAATGATATATAACATGACTATGAAACAGTCAGTCTTACTATAAATGCTTTGAAGCATTTAATTAATTAATTAGAAAAAAGAATTTTACGAATTGCAATTAAAGAATGCTTCCAACTAAGAAAAAATATTTGTAGCATTATATTCATACCTTCAATATTTTTACAACACAATTTTCATTGTTTGTAACATTTATAGCCTCAAATACTTCACTATATTTACCCCTGCCTAATTTTCTCACTAACTGATAATCATCTTGTTGCCTAAAAAAATATACATATATATATAAAGTAAATAAAATAATATATTATAATAGTGATATCACTGACATATTGTTGCGATAAATCTTACCCCCAATCGACAACATAAGATTCATAATCCCAATATTCTCTTGGTTTATGTGAATTTACATCAGCATAGACACGTGCTCTACTCGGTAAAGCCATTCTCAAAGAAGTACTATTATCGATAAGTGTCTTGTTGAATGATATATTATCTCGACTGTCTATTCCAAACCTAGAGCTATTAGCGACTTTAACTTCCTTGCTTATCCAGCTACGTGCATGTGAGAACAGTAATGAACCTAAGCAAATTATACAATTCTGTTGAATGTTTATATTAATAAAAAATATGAAGAATAACTTAAGAAAAATTCAAATGAATTACTGCAATAAATAATTTAATAGTGAATTTTATTGTATGTACTAGTATGCACTGATGCATATAAAAGCTACTGTATATTGATGTAATCTAAGTTTAAAACTGAAATGCAAATATAAAATACATGTTTTATCTAACAACATAATAAAATATTGTAAATTTTGCAATTTAATCTGTTTTATATTTATACTAAACACATTTTTACATTAATCTGTGTACAGCAGTTTTAATATATGCCATATGCCCAATGACAAGGAGAGGCTATACTCTAATCTTCACTGATTTTGATAAAAACTTGTAGCAATGTTAGAGACGAATACGAAACCAACATTTATAAAGCTATTTTTAATGGATATTAGAAATCGAGTATATAATGAATTGAACATAGATACTTTGCATATGTACTAGTATCATGTAAAGTAGCCACGGTAGTATCACTACGCTTAGCTTAGCGCTAACATGCTGAACTATGGTACCATAGGATGCTTCAAGTGTGATCAATGATGAATGAAATGAGATAATCAATAAGACCATTTTGATGTCTCCGAATTGAACCATTTTTTGTATTGTATAATCATTAGGAATGTTTAAAATAATCATTAGATGAAAAAAAACTTGATCCATAAAGCCATAATTAATTATTAATATAAAATAGCTTCTTTAAAGTCCATTTGAAGGAACAGTTATATAATTGTTGGTTAATTTTTAATCTCTTAACATCATTGCAAGTTTGATCAAAATCAATGAAGCCAGAACGTAGCCTTTCCTTGTAAGTGTATCTAATTTGTTATGACAATAAGTTAGTAAGTTATATATATATAGTGTGTGTGTATGTGTATCTTAAAAAAATATGGAAGCTTGAAAAATATGAATTCATTCTCTCTCTCTCTCTCTCTCTCTCT